AGGGTTATAAAGGAATTCTCAGTGTTTTCTTTTAGTGGTCACATTTTTTACTTTTAAATTCCAGTCTTTATGGAATTGTCCTGGAGTACAGTGTAAGATATGAATCTAATTTTTCCTCTTATCAGTGGCTACCAACATCATTTATTTTATTTTATTTTTTTATTTTTTATTTTTTTGAGATGGAGTCTTGCTGTCGCCCAGGCTGGAGTGCAGTGGCCAGATCTCAGCTCACTGCGAGCTCCACCTCCCGGATTTACGCCATTCTCCTGCCTCAGCCTCCCCAGTAGCTGGGACTACAGGTGCCGGCCACCTCACCGGCTAGTTTTTTTGTATTTTTTTGTAGAGACGGGGTTTCACCTTGTTAGCCAGGATGGTCTCGATCGCCTGACCTCGTGATCCGCCCGTCTCAGCCTCCCAAAGTGCTTGAGCCACCGCGCACGGCAACATCATTTATTTTAAAGTTCATCTTTACTCATCAACTTTGAGATGTCACCTTTTTTATATTCTAAATTTCCCATTATGCTTGGATTTTTTTTTTTTTTTTTTTTTGATACAGAATCTCGCTCTGTCACCAAGGCTGGAGTGCAGTGGTGCGATCTCAGCTCACCACGACTTCCGCCTCCCGGGTTCAAGCGATTCTCCTGCCTCAGCCTCCTGAGTAGCTGGGACCATAGGTGTGTGCCACCACGCCCAGCTAATTTTTGTATTTTTAGTAGAGACAGAGTTTCACCATGTTGGTCAGGCTGGTCTCAAATTCCTGACCTTGTGATCCACCCACCTCGACCTCCCAAGTGAGCCACTGCACCCGGCCTGCTTGGATCTTTTTTATCCTGTTTCGTTAGTTGATCCAAATAGTCGTGAGCCATTCCAACTATTTGATTGTCTAGTTTGAGCAGAAGAAAGATCTATTAGTACTTCTATTTCTATTACCTTATATTTATAAATTAATGTAGAGAGAACTGACATCTTCATTATTTTGAATATTTTCCTCTGATTAAGTCTATTTTTGTGTCCTTCAAGAGGGTTTTAAAGTGTTTCATATATAGGTTTTAAAAAAAATCTTCATGTTACATACATACATTTATTATTTAAGAGATGGGGTCTCACTGTGTTGTCCAGACCAACCTCAAACTCCTGAGCTCAAGTGATCCTCCCACCTTACCCTCCCTAGTAGCTCAGACTACAGGCACACACCACCACGCCCAGTCATGTTACACTTACTATTGAATGTTTTATCTCAGCTCGGATAATCACTATAGTTAACAGTATCATGTATATCCTTTTGTACTAGATCATTAATAAACATATATCGTCTGTATAAACTCGAGACTATGTCTAGTTTATATATGATCCAGTGTTTCAAAGTGCGGTCTACAGTAGTTTCTGGTAGACTTTTAGGGATTTTATGGTATCACAACTGTTTTCATAATAATAAAACATCATTTTCCTTTTTCATTGAGTTGACACAAAAGCAAACATGGGTAAAACTGCCGTCAACATGAATCAAGGCAGTGCCTGCAAACTTTGTTAATGGGCGTTATAATTTTTTACAGTCACACACTCATAGTTTAAGAAAAATAGAGAAGCTTTACTTAAGAAGGTGAAATAATAAAAATGTTAATTGCATCAAATTTTGATTCTTGAATTCACATCTCTTTAATATTCTGTGTAATGAAATGGGAAAGATGCAAAACCACAATATGATGGTTGTCTCAAGAAATTACTTGTACAATTAGATTGCAGGCTGACCTAGTAGCATTTTTTAAAATTGAGATAAATTCATATAAGAAAATTTAACCATTTAGCCATTTTGACTATGTAAAGTGTACAATTTAGTGGGTTTTAGTATATTCACTATGTTAAGCAATCATTACCACTTTATAGTTTGAGAACATTATCCCAAAAAGAAACTGTACTTTCTGAACACTCACTCAATCCCTCTTCTCTCTTCCTCCTAGCCCCTCACAACCACCGGCTACTTTCTGTCCCTATGGATTTGCCTATTCTGAACATTTCATATTGACTTAAAAAATCATATATATGGCCTTTTGTGTCTGCCTTCTCTCACTTAGCATAATGTTTTCAAGGTTCATCCGTGTTGTAACATGTGTCAGTACATCATTCCTTTGTAAGGCTAAACATTCTGTTGTATGCATATATAACATTTTATATATCTGTTTATTAATTGAAGGATATTTCAGTTGTTTCTGCTTTTTGTTTGAATAATGCTTCCATGAGAATTCATGAACAAGTTTTTGTGGCAACATGTTTCTAGCCACTTTTTTCATAGAACATTATTTTTACTTAAACTATTCATTAAGATTTTGGCATGAGCAGTTATCCTGTCACTTCAAGGAAAACAGCTGACGATACTTATTACCAGTGATGAAACTTGTGAATTCAAGCAAAAATTCAAGTTTTGGAAAACTTGTGTCTGCCAAGTTTTCTAATGAGGTCAGTGATAAAGTTAAGGACTATGACTTTCTACTAGTGTATAATGAAATGTGTCAACATTTGGAAGTTTAATTTAGTGAATCAGTATTTTCCAAACGATCAACACGTACCACTATAAAATCATGTATAGGTAAAATGTCCAAATACAAAATAGACCAGTTGGTATTGTAAACCAGCTTTCTTGAGGTAAATTTACTTAACACAGATTTATCCCTTTTTGTGTGTACAATTCAGTGATTTCAGTAAATTCACAGTTTTCCCGTCATCTCAATCCAATTTTAGAAAAATCCCAAAAGGATTTTCATGCCAGTTTACAATCACTGCTCTTTACTAGCCTCAGGCGCTACTACTCTCTGTTTCTATAGTCTTGCCTTTTCTGGATATTTCATGTAAATAGAATCATATACTGTGGTTTTTGCATGTGGCTTTTTAGCATAATGTTTTTGAAGTTCATCTGTATCATTGTGTTTATCGTAGTTAAGTCTTCTTTAATGCTAAATAGAATTCCATTGCATGGATATGTCACGTTTTATTTATCTTTTTTATCAGTTGGTAGACATTTGAGTTGCTTTGTATTTTTGGCTACCATGAGTAATGCCACTATGAACAGTTGCGTACAGGTTTTTTTGTGGACGTACATTTTCAGTTATCTTGTGTATAAACCTGAGAGTGGAATTTCTGGGTCAAATGGCAACTCTATGCTTCCAGTTTTCAGAAACTTCCATGCTGTTTTCCAAGTGACTGAACCACTTTACAATCCCACCTGCAGTACCTGAGGGTTGTAGTCTGTCTACATTGTTACCAACATTTGCTATTATCTACCTTTTTTGTTATAGCCATTCTGGTAGGTATGAAGTAGCATCTCATTGTGGTTTTAGTTTGCATTTCTTTGATAACTAATGATGTTGAACATCTTTTCATGTGCCCATTGGCCATTTGAACTGCTTCTTTGATGAATCATCTATTCAGTATTTTGCCCATTTTTGAGTTAGATTGCCTTATTATTGGGTTGTAACATTTCTTTATATATTCTGAGTAGAAGTCATTTATCAGATATATGATTTGCAAATGTTTTCTCTGAGTCTGTGGTTTATCTTTTTTTCTTAATGATGTCTTTGAAGGTTGAAGTTTTAAATTTTAATTAAGTCCAAAACAATAGATTTTACTGTCATAGGACATGAAGGGTTCATTGGTTATGGTTTTTTACTTAACTTTTAAGTTACCATTTGTAAAGTTTTGGTGCCGTATTACTATCTGAAAGGACTGTTAAAATATTACTCCACTGACTCAGAAGAGTGAGGGGGGTTGGGAAGGGGATGGCTGATGAGAGATTACTTAATGGGTACAATACACGTTATTTGAGTGGTTGATACCCTAAAAGCCCTGACTTCACCACTATGCAACCTATGCATGTAACAAAATTACATTTGTACCACATACATTTATACCAATAAAAAAATTTTAATTAAAAATATATTCCTTCATTTTCCACTTTCATATCTGTATTAAGCTAGATTTTCTTCGTATATTTCAAACTGAACTGCATATTGCAAACTGAACTGCATATTGCAACAGATTGAGTGCAGAAGTAGATGTGAGAATCCAGGTGTCTTTTATTAATTCAGACGTTAAAGAAATTTACAGAAATGTAAAACAATACCCCTTTTGCCACTAATTTTTTTTTTTTACTTTAAAGATATAGTTGTTTTTAATTAAAATGCTATGTTCATGTGTAGTACCTTTATTGTTAATTTAAAATAAATTAATGTATATATACTTTAAATTTTTTTCAGCTTTAATTGCTAGCATAGTAAATATCAACAGATGTAACTCATGTAAACAAAAGCTCTCTGAGGCCATCAGTAATTTTCAACTGTAAAAATTTCCTGAGATTACAAAAAATATATATATTTTAGCTGGGAGCAGTGGTTCACGCCGATAATCCCAGCACTTTGGGAGTCTGAGGCAGTCGGATAACTTGAGATCAGGAGTTCAAGACCAGCCTGGCCAACATGGTGAAACACTGTCACTAATAAAAAAATCCAGTGTTTATATAAACTATCCAGACACAGTGGCAGGTGCCTATAATCCCAGCTATTTGGGAGGCAAAAGCAGGAGAATTGCCTGAACCTGGGAGGCGGAGGCTGCAGTGAGCTGATAGCGCCACTGCACTCCAGCCTGGGCAACATAGCAAGACTAAGTCTCAAAAAAAAAAAATGAAAAAAACAAAAAAGTCAAAAAAAGAAAACATACTTTGAGAACTGCTGCTTTTAATGTAACATTAGAGTCATACAAGATAGCTGTTATATGTCTGTTGTGTTGCTTTCTGTTTTTCATATAATTTGGTCATGTTTATCTAGATTGTTAGCTTTTGGAAAGCAGGAAAAATATATTTTATTTTTATGTTATTTCTCAAAAGATCATACTTGTCCCTCTAGAATTAGTGCCTAGTGAAGACTTAACAAGAGATTGGAGGATTTCCCACCATGTTAGGGCAGCATTTACTGTTTTGGCTTTAATATAAGTAGCTAAATTCTCTCATTCAGGTGGAAGAACACAATGGTCACATCTTTAAAGCCACCCAATATAGCATCCCTACATACTGTGAATACTGTTCTTCTTTGATATGGATAATGGACCGAGCCTCTGTTTGCAAATGTAAGTATGAGAGATCTTTGAGGAATATTTTTAACCACTGACATTTCTACTTCCTTGAGTTGTCTTATTCTCCTTTAGCATAAAGGAGTTATTTACACTACCTAAATTTTTAGCCTCGTCTCTTGCTATACTCTCTTCACCTATTCTTTGTATCTAAACCAGACATTTTGATGTTATTTGATCACTGAGAGCCTTGTACATGTAATTCACTCTGTCTAAAATGGTCTTCTCCCAGATTTTAGTATGACTTCATATTTCAGTTACTTCATGCCTACACTCAAATCTCACCTTCTCAGAGAGTTCTCTTTTCTACCCCCAGTTTAAATGCTACCCTGTCCCCAAATTCTCTATTCTTTTTTTTTGAGATGATGTTGCTCCATCGCCCAGGCTGGAGTGCAGTGGCATAATCTCAGCTCACTGCAACCTCTGCTTCCCGGGTTCAAGCGATTCTCCCTGCCTCAGCCTCCCAAGTAGCTGGAATTACAGGCACATACCACCACGCCTAGCTAATTTTTGTGTTTTTAGTAGAGACAGGGTTTTGCCATGTTGGCCAGGCTGGTCTCGAGCTCCTGACCTCAGGTGATCCACCCGCCTTGTCCTCCTAAAGTGCTGGGATTACAGGTGTGAGCCACTGCGCCCGCTCCCCACCCCCCAAAATTCTCTGTTCTTTTACTCAGACTTAATAGTCTTCATAGAACTCATTACCACCCAAAATTACATTAAGTATTTGTTTTCTTGTTTTTCAGTCTATGCCTCTAAAATATATGCTCTATAGGTCAGGAAACTTATTTGTCTTTTTTTAAAAATATATATCATCAGTACCTAAAACAATGATGGCACATAGTAAGTTTTAATAAATATTTGTTGGTTAGATAGACCTATAGATGGATGGATGGATGGATAAATGAATAAATTCTTAGATTATAGTCAGAAAGGTACTTTTCCTACTGTAATCCTTTTAGCAGATTACAATAGAAAAATATAAATATATAAAATATATAAATATATAATATATATTATTTCACGTATAAATATATATATAAATATATATACAAATATATAAATCCTAAAATGTGAGTAGAGATTCTTTGTAGATCAACTTGGTTCTAGCTCACAGTGGACCTTTAGCCTCCACTCATTTTATACATCTGCTCTGGTGCTATTATTAGTTCTGTGAAGCTTCGCTTTTACTAGTGGGCTAAAATTGAATGAAGCAAATACCAGGAAAGGACCAGATCCGGTATGACAGCAGTTTGCCACAGAAAAATTGCCACTATTACTATATATTTACTTATTCCATGGTTCAACAGCAGTTTTGCTTTGGTTTTATTATCAGTAGTCTAAAAAATCATAATGAGTCTGAAAATAGGAAGTAGTTTGAAATGTATTTGACTCTTTAGTGTAACTATGATTCTTGTAGGTTTAGTTTCTTCTGTAACTTAAAGCTAAAAATTTAAATGATTTTCTTTTTTATGACTGTTGGGTTGGTTTGATTTTTTTTTTTTTTTTTTTTTTTTTTCAGAGTCTCGCTTAGTCGCCCAGGCTAGAGTGCAGTGGCACAATCTCAGCTCACTGCAACCTTCGCCTCCCAGGTTTAAGTGCTTGTCCTGCCTCAGCCTCCCGAGTAGCTGGGATTACAGGCACCCACCACCACGCCCAGCTAATTTTTGTATTTTTAGTAGAGACAGGGTTTTACCATGTTGGTCAGGCTGGTCTGGAACTCCTGACCTCAAGTGATCCACCCGCCTCGACCTCCCAAAGTGCTGGGATTATAGGCATGAGCCACTGTGCCTGTCCTGATTTGATTTTTTAATAGATTTAGCTAACTTTCTTTGTTGTTATCCTGATGATTTCACCAGTACAGTGACATGGCCTCCCTTACTTGATCTTGGCCTTCAGAAGCCTACAAGTTATATTTTACAAGCTCAAGAAAGGATATTCAGGTATTGGTACACAGAAGCCAGAGCTGGTATAGCAAAATGAATAAGCAGCTGTGTTCTCAGTACCCTCCTCTTAATGTGCCTCTTCCTGTTCACCAGCTGCCAAGCCACCCTGGGTTATCACCACTTCTCTAAATTATTTTAGCTCTGAACCTTTTCTTTATCCCATCTTCCCAATCACAACTGAATATTCTTCATGTTCTGGTTCTTCAGAGCTCTGTTCTGAACCTTTAGAGATGATAAATAAGACCTTTCTTATATCTTATTGTGCTACCCAATTTGTTTTCATTTCAGGAAGGGTCTTTGACATTAATGCCTTCCTTATCTATAGGAATGATTCTTACTAGGCATTTCTGAGATTTTAGTATGTTGTAGAGCATATATGTGGTGGAACATGAACACTAATTTGTGAATCAAACCACAAATATAAGTATCCTGCTGGAATTTATTGGGGAGTGGTACTGTGTAGCATAGGAGCAGGATGAGCAATTTTGAAAGAACAAAAAGCTTTTTCATTGACTGTGGCTAGAAATTTTGATCATGTTTTCAATGTCATTATACCAAATAGAATGGGCTAAAATTCTTTTTAATTATACCATTGTACAAAGTATGTATGTCATATTACTTACAGCAGTCTGACATTTAAAGAAAAATAGTAAGTCTAAAATAAAGTATACTTGATAAGTTCTTATCATTGATGTGCCGATTTCTAAAACTGTTGCATTCCTCACCTATTTTTCAGTATGCAAGTATGCTTGCCATAAGAAATGCTGTCTGAAAACCACAGCCAAGTGCTCTAAAAAGGTAAGAAATTATCTTCTTATCAGTAATAGATAACAGACCTGTTGGTCTTTTGTGCCTTATGGAAATAAATTAAGGCCTTTTTGGTAGTTTTACAGAAAAGTGGTTTTTAAACTTTTTGACCACAAATCACAGTAAGAAATATGTTTTATGCCATGATCCAGTTCACATGTTTGGTGATATATGTACAAAACTAAATTGATTTTCATAGAATTACTTTACTATTACTATATGTGAGTTACTAAATTAATTTCATAAGCCACAATTTGAAGAACACTGCTTTGAGGTTTCATACTTCCTTAAACACTCATAAATCTTCCTAGGAATTATCCTTAATGCAGTAAGCTACAATTAAAGATCAACAAATTTAAACATGAATAGCAAAATTCACCAGCATGGATGGTTGTTGTTTTTACATATATCTCTTGGGTACACAGAGATCTAAAATATACTGTACACATACTGTTTGATACCTTATGTTTCAAGGAAGTAATCTTTTTTAAAAAATTCAGGCTTTTATTGATGTATGATCACAACATTTTCTTGTTCATTAATCACATACTGACAGTTGTTACAATAGCATGTAAATCTGAAATATAAATGTGTGTCCATGTTGTTTGCAGTAGACCAGTCATGGTAAAGTACAGAGAGAAATTTGATTCAGGAATTAAAATGCAAAGAATATGAGTGAGACATTTGCTTCCAGCTAAGATGAAGTAGCTTGTGTCAGACCGATACTAAAAATGTTTGTTGGCAAGCATCAGGGAACTGCCCAGGGAAATTGTACCTTAGGAGACTAGATTTTAGAGAGAAGAGAATGCAGAGTAGTGAATCTAGATCTGTGAGATCTTTTTCTTCTAGTGGAAATTGTTCAATTTTTGCTGTAGGACAAGAAACCAATATTCTGGGCAGAAGGCCACATTTAAGATTCAGAGAAGCCAGCAGAGCATTTAGCAATCTCATAGGACTTTAGAGACAAAAGTTGAAATCTGGGACTGACAGGACTTGAGGGACCATGATCCAGTCATCTGCAGAAGGCAACCTGAAACTCAGAGGTTTTCCACTCAAGGCATTTTCTTTTTTCAATTCTTAAAGTCTAAGACGTTAATCAGAAAAGAAGACTGACGTTTTCTGCAGTCTCTCAATGCTAAGGAGAGAAAAATTAGAGTTATAGTATCCCCTTTTGAAGAGAGGGGCCCTAGGCAATACTGTAGACTCTCAATGAGACCTCTGAAGAAGTGCACTCTAGGAATGGGGGTAAACTACTGATAAACTGAGCTTAACAAAAACTACAAACTAACTTTGAGCCACTCCTTGAGTGTATTAAGGTGATCTGCTCCTTTTTCTAATAAGCCACCCATCAGAAAGAATAGGGTGAAGCCTCTCTAGAAAGATAACATCATCCAGAGCCTTTGTAACTTTTTTCCATATAATCTCAGACATAAAGAAGTAAGACTAGGGCCGGGCGCGATGGCTGAAGCCTGTAATCCCAGCACTTTGGGAGGCCGAGACGGGCGGATCACGAGGTCAGGAGATTGAGACTATCCTGGCTAACACGGTGAAACCCCGTGTCTACTAAAAATAATACAAAAAACTAGCCGGACGAGGTGGCGGCGCCTGTAGTCCCAGCTACTCGGGAGGCTGAGGCAGGAGAATGGCGTAAACCCAGGAAGCAGAGCTTGCCGTGAGCTGAGATCCGGCCACTGCACTCCAGCCTGGGTGACAGAGCGAGACTCCGTCTCAAAAAAAAAAAAAGAAATGAGACTAAGAGAAAAACTAGTGGGCAATATCAACAGACTTACAGATAACCCAGTTAGTGAATTACCAGATACATATGTTAAGGGATTTTTAATTAATATGTTTAAATAATAGATACAAAGATGGAGAAGTTAGCCAAAGAACTGAAATACAGTTGGCCCTCTGTATCCATGGGTTCCATATCTGTGAATTTAACCAACTACAAGTCAAAAGTAATTGGGGGCCAGACACGGTGGCTCATGCCTGTAATCCCAGCACTTTGGAAGGTTGAGGTGGACAGATCACCTGAGATCAGGAGTTCAAGACCAGCCTGGCCAACAGAGAAACCCCCCCCCCCTACAAAAAATACAAAAATTAGCCGAGTGTAGTTGTGGACAGCTATAATCCCAGCTACTCAGGAGGCTGAGGCAGGAGAATCGCTTGAACCTAGGAGGTGGTTGCAGTGAGCTGAGATCCTGCCACTGCACTCCAGCCTGGGTGACAGAGCAAGACTCCATCTCAAAAAAAAAAACAGTAATTGGGAAAAAACATCGCACACAGTTCCAAAAAGTAAAACTTCAATTTTCTGTGTATTAAATACTACGTTGAATCCACAGAATAAAATAATGTGAGGCATTATATTAGGTAGTATAAGTAATCTAGGGCTGACTTGAAGTATACAGGAGGAAGTATATCTGTTATATGCAGATACAGCACCATTTTATATGAAGGACTTGAGTATCCATGGATTTTGATATCCATGGGGAGCAGGGAGGGTGTCCTGGAACCATTCTCCAAGGGATAACTGTATATATTTAAATATATATTTTTAAAGAATCAAATGGAAATTCCGGAAATGCAAAATGGAGTTAAAATTATAAACTGAAAATATAGGTTTAATCGTCATAGCAGAAGAGAAGTTTGGGCCAGGCGTGGTGGCTTATGCCTGTAATCTCAGCCCTTTGGGAGGCCAACTTGGGTGGATCACCTGAGCCCAGGAGTTTAAGACCAGCTTGGGCAACACGACGAAACCCCGTCTCTACTAAAAATACAAAAATCAGTTGGGCATGTTGGCACATTCCTGTAGTCTTAGCTACTAGGGAGACCACGGCAGGAGGAACACTTGAACCTGGGAGGTTGAGGCTTCAGTGAGCTGTGAGCATGCCACTATACTTCATCCTGGTAACAGAGTGAAATCCTGTCTCAAGAAAAAAAGAGGAGAAATTTGGTGAACCGAAAGATAGGTTGGTAGATATATCCAGGCATGGAGAGCAAAGAGAATGGAGAAATACAGAAATAGATGTGAGAGACATAGGGGAAAGAATGAAGGTTCTTAAATGTATATAATTGGAGTCCAGGAAAAAAGTAGAGAGAACAAGGCAGAAGCAACATTTTAAGAGATAATGGCCAACACAGCAAGTCACAGGTTCATAAAAACCTTTTAACCTAAAGTGGGACAAATATAGAGAAAACTACACCTAGATGTGTACAGTGCTCCAAACAAACAAACAAACAAAATTCTTAAAAGCATTCAGAAGGAAATAAGCATTATCTAAAGGAGCAATGAAATTGCTTGACAATTGACAGCTGAATTCTGGACAGAAGTGATGGAAGCCAAGAAAACAGTGACTTGTTATCTTTCAGTTTAAAAATAAAGACAACCCAGATATCTGTACCCAGTGAAAATACCCTTCAAAAGTGAAAGTGTTGTGAAGACATTTTCAAACAGAAACTCAGCAGCAGACCTGCACCAGAATTTGTCACCAGCAGATCTACACTAGAAGAAATACTAAAGGAGGTTCTCCAGAAAGAAGGAAAATGGTCTCAGATGGAAACAGAAATAAGGAAGGAATGAAGAGCAGTAGAAAGAGTAAATAATATGCATAAATATAAATGTATAGTGGCTGAAAACAGTCATAATGTCTTGTGGGGCTTAAAGTGTATACAGAATTAAAATGCATGACACCACCACAAAAACAGTTGGTTAAGTGAAGTCAAAATATTCTAAGGTCTCTGTGTCATGTGGAAACTGGTAAGCATGCTAGAAATATATTAGACTTAAATATTTTGTGAATATTTGCTAAAGTAACCACCAAGTAAAAGAATATATAACTTAAAAACTAATAAAGACAATAAAGTGGAAAAACAAAAGTAGTTTATTAATGTATTATAAAAGAAAGTAAGAAATTAGAGAAAAACACAAAACAGGTTGACAAAGAAAAAATAAATAGCAGATTGACAGATATAGATTGAAATATATTGGTGATCACGTTAAATGTTAAAAGGGTAAATGCTCCAAATAGGAGACTAAACTTAAAATCAACTGAAAAATCTCAGTGATATGATATTCATAAGAGACATACTTAAATATAAAACTATAGAAAGATTGAAAGCAACAGGATAGAAATAGATGGCATGCAAAGAATAACCAATAGAAAGATGTTATAAAGTGTACTTTAAGGCAAGAAGCATCACTTCAAATAAAGGTGTATCATAATGAAGGGTCAAACCATCAGGGAAATATAAAAATTCTAACATTATAAGCCTCTAATATTTAGTTTCAGTATCTGGAAGACAAATTAGGAAGGATACAAGTGATAAGAAAAATTTGATGTAACTGGCATATATTAAACTCTATGTCCTACAGCTGCTAAATGCACATTCTTTTCCAGTGCATGTGAAACATTTGATAAAATTAATCGTGCTGAACCATGGAGCTAGTCCCTGTAAATTTCAATGGATTGAAAATATCGGTAGTATGTTCTTTGACCACAGTGGAATTGAGCTGTAAATGAACAAAAAGATAAGTGGATAATTCTCAAATGTTTAGAAATTAAGCAGCATATTTCTAAATTACAATAAAAGTGGAAAAACATTTTGAACTAAATGGTAATGGGTATGATACAACAAAATACATGGAATACAGTTAAAATTATCCCAAGAGAAAAACTTACAGCTTTTAAGTGCATACATTAGAAAGTGAGCAGGTTTGGAAATGATCTTAACTTTCATCTCAAGAAGGTAGGAAAAACCTCCAAAAACCCATCTAATTAAACCTCAAGACAGTGGAAGGAAGACAATAATAAAGAAATAAATGAAATCGAGATCATTTGTACAGTAGAGGAAAATCTACAATGCCAAATTTTGGCTCCTGGAAAAGAATTAAATAAGTAAACAAGAAAGAATAATCAAGAAAAAAAATTTTTTTCAAAAGCAGCAATTGTCAATATCAAGAATAAAAATGTGGATATCACTGCAGATACTGC